ACACCCCATTTATAGATGAGGAGGTCCATTTGCACCACGAATAAGCTCTTATCGGAGTTCACATAATTACTAACAGCTGGAGGCAGGGTTTGAACTCAGGACATTTTGGGTACCGAAGTGATGCTCTTTCTACCTTGCAAACTCCATCAGCAACGTATGGAGTTGGCCTCTGCCTCAGAACAGCTTTTCTTCTTCCTTCCCCCTTGCTTTAAAACCCCACCTTTGCCCTGGGGACACATTCCCCTTGCCCATTGAGGACAAACAAAGGGCAGATCTTAGATGTTTTCTCTCAGTCCTTATAACTGTGAAATGCTAGGATGTCAGAAGATGCCTGGTTTAGCATTTAATCCAACTGCCTTATTTAAAAGGTAAGGAACCGAAGTCCAGAGAGCTCAAGTGACTTGTCTGAGGTCACACAGCTGGCTAGTCACAGATCCGAGACTCTGGATTCAGTGCTGCTTTCCCAACTCTGGGCTGTATTTGTATCTGGTGCCCTGTCAGGCCAGCCAGCACTGGGCAGTGTTGTGTTGCTAGGTCAGTACAAGTTCAGGCTTAAGTTTAGGCTAGAGGATGCAATGGATGAACCTCCATTTTATAAAACAAACTAGTAAAAATAATGTCTGCTTGTTAAAAATCCAAGCAGTGTGGAAGTATGTCCGGAAGCTCTTGAAAGCCCTGCCCCCTCCTGGCCCTCCCCAGCCCACTCCCCAGGGGTATCCACTTAGTGCTGTCTTCAATGTCTCCTTAATTTTCCTGCCAGCCCTTGGGTTTTGTAGGATCCATGCCACAGCAAGGCTATTTTTAACAAGCATCCCGGGCTTTAGGGGTTGAGGAGAGGGGAAGAAAAAAATATGCCATTTGTATATTTTTAATCCGTGCACATTTGAGAAGGCAGTGGTTTCCCTGTCCACCCTGCCAAGGGTTTTGGGCAATTGATTAGACTTACTGGGTGCAGGGTAATCCTTTCTCTTCCTCTAATGAGGCTGGAAGGCCACGGAGGGGTTCAGGTGATGTTTCCGGGACTGGTGGCTGTCTCAGTTGGCTGCCTCCTGATTCTGCCTGCACCCAGCACTCACCCTCCCACAGCCTCGAAAATCCTGGCTGGATCTCCCAGGGGAGAAGAGGCCTGGGAACCTGACTCTTTGTGCCAGGCTCATATTTAGAAATGTCTCCAGCCAGAGCCTGGCGTCTGTCCCGCTTGGGCTCTGGGCAGGGGGTGTAGTCACATGTGCTGCCTTCGAGTGGGCAGATTCTGAGTGGGCAACAGCCCACTTTGAATATAAACACACTCTTTTTATAGTGAGGAGCTGGCATCTGAGCCTGTGCTCCTGGGTACTGGGTGAGGCCAAGTGCTGGTAGCCAGATGGACGGCAGGGAGAGGGTAAGAAAAATGTCACATGGCTCGAACTGGGCAAAATGGTGGTGGAGAGGGGTCCCAGCTGCCTGCCCCCCACCCCAGTCCCCATCTGTTTTGCTTCCCCAAGTGCCCAGAGTGCTGTCCCTGCCTGAGTAGGGGTCCTGCAACCCCATGGGGGGCCAGACAGTGCCCCGTTCTGGTCTTTACTGTCCTTTCTGCTTCATGAGTTCCCCAGTCTGTTTAGGGGCAATACTGGAAGGTGGTATGGAGTGGGACAGGGTGAGACCTGGATGTGGGGCCACTTGTGGCAGGATCTTGTTCTATTTCTCCCTGTCTGTGAGCAGCCAGCCCTTCGACTCTCCAGATTGCACCTCTAAAACGTGGCCCAGGTGACATCATCACTGCAGGCTCTGACAGGAAAGGTTCTGCAGTTTCTTGCTCACCCTGCCTTCTTTCCATGACGAATGAATGAGACCAACTGACCCCAGCCTTAACTAGTAGGTTCCTGGGTAATAAACGTGATGCCGTAGCCCTTTCATTCACTCTTGCTTCAGTATTTAATGAGCACCTGCGAAGTGCAGGCCCTGTGCTGTCACGAACCCCACAGTGACTGTTAGGAGCTTTCAGCTCTCCTGATGTCGCACCTCTCACCCCTCTGCAGGCCTTCCCAGGGGGACCCGAGTGGCTTGCTCATCAAATCCAGCTCTCTGTCGAGGAGGCTGCTTTCCTGCAGCTGAACCTTCAGAGAGAATCAAGTGTAGCAATAGGACTGCCCTCCTGCAGCCTTATGCCAAGCAGGCGCCCAGTCCTCAAGCCCCTGGCAGCCCTCACCTCCCTGCCCCATCCTTCCCTCCCCTCCCCACATCTCAGAGAAAGAAAGCTCCAAGTAGTGGTCAAGAGGGGTGAATAGATATTTTCTTTGTATCTCCTGGAGAAACATGGTAAATACACAATAACTGAACGAACGAACGAATGAATGAATGAATGAGGGAAGGGACAAATGGAAATTCAGTCTCTGCTCCAAAGGAACTTAAATTCAGAGGAAAAGAACCAGATTTGTGGGTCTGAATGGGGCCCCAGGGATCCAGGGATCTGCTTACACCCTCCTTTTATGGCAAAGGCAATTCAGACTCCGAGGCGGGAGGGGCTGCGGTGCGAAGCCTGTGGCAGACCTTGGAGGTCAGAGGATCGAGAAATCACCCGGGGAGAGTGAGATCCGGTACCCAACACAAGGCTGCCCTACTTTCCCTCTGCCGCTGCCCTAAGAGTCCCTCGTCCTTGGAAAAAATTGCCTTTTCATATGGTTGGGAGTGGACAGTGCAATTTTTCTTCGAGGGTTAATTGTTTTGCTGACAGCACAGATAATTAGGAATGAGAATCCCGGAGTGAGGGCGACAGCACCATCTGCTGTGAATATGTTTCAACCCCACCTTGCAGGAGGGCTCAGAAGGGCTCCTGTCCTCACCCTCCCCACCCCCAGCAAAAAATGACGTGCTCTAGCCGTTTGCTTCAGGAGCTAGAGCCACCAGGTGACTGTGCAGCCAGTGGGATCGACTGGTGACCAGCTTCTAAAGCATGCAGCGTGTTCCCCTCCCGCATGGCATCCAGTGCACAGAGTGGGGCTCGGGGAGAGCTTCCAGGCTGAATGAGGACCCACCAGGCTGTCTGGGATACAGAGCACTAACACCCGTGGGGATACCTTTCTGTTCCTCCTGTGACCTGATGTTCTGAGGTCTGGTCCTCTGTTGATTGGAGGTGGGCGTGTGGGTCCACCCTGCCTTCCATCACCAGGTAAGAATTTCCTAGGTCGCGACTTCCTCTGTGTCAGTAGAAGCAGAGCAGCTTTGGGATCAAGCAGATAATCCCACTGTCAGGAGCAGCTGAGATCTTCTTTCATATGGGTGGAACGTCATGCCCCCCCCCTTTTTATTATTTAGAAATATATCATATATACAAAAGAGCATTGACATGTATATATGCGTTTTGAAGGTAATAATAACAATTTCTTTGTTCTTTCAAAGGGACTTCTAACCTCCAGTGCTGTCTTGCCCAGAAATGCCTCAGAGGCTGAGCCATAGGGAGTCAGGTTGCCCAGGGGGCTCAAGTTCAGAACAGTCCCCGAAGCCGTGGCTATTCATCACAGCCGATTTCCTCTTTGCCTGAGCTGCTCCTGGTGGCTGGGAGCCTCCACATCCCTGCCTTCCTATTTATCACTCTGTTCTCTCTGTGCTTTCTCCTCCTAGGCTCTCCTGGAGGGGGAGAAACCAAAAACATGATTGTTCTCTTCTCCCCATCCCCCCTTAGCAGGCCAGGCCTGCCTCTGTTCCCCTCCTCCTTCCCACTCCTATTGACTGGCCACACCCCAGAGGTGACATGAAATTACCCCAGGGCCAGGGAGCTTGCTGGAAAGTGATAATCAGAAGTCAAGAATTCCAGTCTGGGCTCTTTCACTAACTTACTGTGTGACCTTTAGCGAGATTCTTAACCTTTCTGTGCTTCCGTTTTCTCATCTTTAAATACCCCTTTACATTGCTACTATGAAACCAAATGGGCCCAATGAATGCAAAAACAGCTCAAAGTGTATACATCATTCTAGGTGTTGTAAGACATTGTCATCATCGTGATTACAGAATCCATGGGACTTCATGTCCCTGTCTTCCGGTGCCACTCCCATCCCTGTTCATGGTGCTTCCTCTTACCTGCAGCACTGGGGGCCCTGGCAGAGCTGCCCACCTGCCTCAGCCCCTTCTCAGCAGGGCTTCCATTGAAGCCCAGAGGAGCCTGAGACTTGGGTGGAGCTCAGGATCATAGCCATCCCAACAACAGGAGCCCCTCTCCCACCCAGTTGCTGGAGGCCATGCCTGGCCAGACGTGCAGGGTTGGTCAAATCTCTATAGGGGCTGCTTCTAGCTGAAGCCCCTTATTACCCACCCCACCACCCCAGAATATGAGCCAGGTCTTGGCTGTGAAATGTAGTCACTTAGAGTCCAGTATCTGTGTCGCTCACCCTGTGAGGTCTGCATCTCCACTCTTGTCTCTTGCTCTGAGCAAAAGTCTGTGAAAGGGGGCTCACCATCAGCTGCAAGGTCGGTGGCCTTCCTGGAGCTCCCAAACTACAGCACACGGGAAGCCTTGTCCCAGGGACTTGAGCTACAAAAGTTGAGGACTGTCCTTGGTAGACATGTTCTTGGTCTTTGTCGTCTCATTGGTGGAGGGAGAGCACCCAGGTCCTTCCTCTTTCCTGGGCAATGAGTTTCTGTTGGTGATTATGAGCCAAACTCTGAATGAGTGACTGAAGGTGGGTCTTTCAGGAAGATAAGATGAAATATTTGTGGTAAGAAGACAGGAATAAAGATGTATGTGTGTATGCGTGCACGCCGAGGCCTGGGATAGCGTTGGTAGGCGGGACATTGGCAATGAAGAAAGACTCTGGCTGAGATAGATTCATAGAGTCACCAAGAATTGCAAGACCTAATAATAAAGAGCAATGAGAGGATGACTGGAAAGTTCTAGAACAGTTAAAACTTGGACATACGTCTTTAGTCCCAGTAACAGAGACCTTTGTTCTTCCCACAGGTCCCCTCTGAAGCAGCTGGAGTTCTGGAGGCCTAACCACCCCTGAGGAGTGGGCCAGCCAGGACAGCAAGAAGGGATGGCGTGGAGGCCTCCCAGGGCCTGAGTAGTGTGTGTAATCCACAGCTCGTTGGACCTGGAGCCTCCAAGTCGGGGGCCTGCACCAGCCAGGAGACAAGAAGAATCGATGCTTCTGCCCCTGGCGACATGTACACGGTGTAATGACAGGTAATGAACCTGAGGCTCATCTATTCTTTCTGAATGATATGACAGGTAGGAGAATACATCAGCCTGCAGGAGACATAAAATGTCAACCCTTGGGAAGATAACTATGCAAACAAACCTAGTAAGGCCTGATAAGATGATAGATGGATGCTTTCCAGTTATTAGTTTCTGCCCCGTGTGCTTGCTGGAGCCAGGCCCCGGAAGATTTAGCGTCAGGTGGGTTCACTTCCTGTGCCTAATGGGAAGGCCCGATGCTGTTATGTGTGTAACTCCTCTTGCTTGAGGAACTCAGAGTAACAAATCAAGAAGTCATTACTCCCCGTCAGCTCCCTGGGGACTCAGGGAGTTGAAGGCAGTGGGAAGCAGAAGCAGCAGAAGGAACAGGAGCTCCTTCACGGATTGGTGATTCCTGAGGGATAGGCCTGGGGACACACTGGTTGGGAAGCCTTCCGATTGGTTCAGATTTTTCAAATGACAGGGTGAAGCAATGGGTATTTCTTGTAAAAAAAAAAACACTAGAGGGGGACTTTGTGACTCCCTCCATCCCTCCAAGGATGCCAGGACAAGTAACAGATGATCAGGGGTGGCTGGGAGAGATCTCAAGTAGGGGTCTGGAGAGCCCAAGAGGGGCTGGCAGACACAGCTAGAAGGCCAGCCAAGTTAGGAAGCATCAAGCAGGTGCCCAGAGCCTAGAAGACAGGGCCCAAGGATAGAAGGAT